TAGGTTCTTATGAATATTTAATTTTCTTATTGATATACCAAGTGAGTCAATCACAATTGAATTGTTTGGTTTTCTACAGTGTGTTTTGGGAGGTTTGTAGGAATTAGAAATACGAATTAATCCTACCATAATTACCCTACCCTCACAATTACACGCCATTTTAATTCTTAGCATAATTGTCATATTTACATATGTATATATATAGTATCTCAGTTTACATTATTTAGTACAGTTTTAGGCACTTAAATTTAGTTGGCAGGGAGTAAAATCCAAGTATGCAATTTAAATAAGTTGCTTAAATAAATGTAGGCCTAATTCCTAATTATTCAGTTTACTTTAAAAACAATATTTGATTTGATTTGCATGTTTTGGTAGTTGAAGTACTGTATGTATGTCATTCCTCTACTTTGTTAGTGAAATAACGTTTTTAAAGCTTACTATCAAAAAAGTTATTCAATGGCCATTATTTCCCGATAATCTCTCAGTACATTATTTGCATCTGTTGTGTAACTGTATTTGTTATTGATTCAATTCTTGCTTTTTACAGCTAGTATTTAAACAATGGAAGCAAAAAAAAAAAAAATTATTTCTATTACTGTATTTTTTCATTGGGGCCATTTTTACCTACTTGTCATTTGGGGCCATTTTTACCGGGGCCATTTTTACCTACATTCTGTTGGTACAGTAATAGTTAAACTGAGTAATTAGCATAAGAATGTGGCAGTAAATATAAAAATGGATATAGTAATCCTTACCTATTCATTAATATTTAAGAAAACAAGTTTTCGATCTAATCAATTTTATAGATTCGACATAGACAAACCTTGCTAAAAAGGCTTCTAAAAATGGAATGATCTGTTCAAAGCACAAACACATGTAGACCAAACCCAGTACCATTTCGATTTTAATCAGACGGGAAATTTACTGATGAAGTCAATTTTCATTTTTTGGTCACTGGTGCTAGTTTTTGGAATGGCAAGCCTTGTATGTTACATACACAATTTAACCATAACTCCTTGGTTACATTGTAGGTCGATAATGAAACAGTACTCCATCTATAAATAAGACATCTTAGCAAAAATATAATATGTGAACATAGTTGGGAAATAAAAGGTAATGAATTGTCTACAAAACTCTTTTAAAGGCTTTTAAATTACCTGAAACGCAATAAATAAACTAAAAACAAGCAAAATTATTGTGTTATACAATAGTTCTAGGATAAAAAGGAAGACTATAAACATATGGGCCATTCCATTTTTCAAATTAGGGTATAAATGTTGTAAAAGGTTTCTTGTAATCCAGGAATTTTGATTTTGGCTAGAATTTGACAATCCTGTCTGTTACAGCTTCACCAATTAGTCTGGTACACTACTGGTGGTTAAGAATTAAATTTGCTTGATCATTTTGAAACAAAATTTGCACAGCTAATAATTTTTCTCTTATTGCTACTCCATAAAGATAGTTTAAAACCTGACATGGCCCATTGGCCAGGCACTGCTATTTCAGTTCAATCATCATTATATTTACATCAAATGATTTTATACTGTTAATATTATCTTGGACGCACCTTCCTTTTGGAAGAGTGCCACTGACATAAGTGTAGTTTAGAATAAATAACTAAATATCCCTGTACATAGGACATTGGTCAATATAATTTTGTTTATGATACAATTAATATTCTCAAATATAAATACCGCATTTATTCGAATAAATGCCCTGCTTTGAATAAACTCTCCCTCTAGAGCCTACTTTGGAATAAACGCTTCCTCAAATAAACACCCCGAGGCATTTATTTTTCCCCTCGAATAAACGCTCCCTAAATGACAACAAATTTAATGGAAGCAACATCATTCTCAATGTTCTCTATTAATGTTCTACTCACACCACAATTACATTTTTTTCTAACAAGAAGTCTTTATGATCAAGCAATAACACATTTTGACAGTAGGTGCCTCCACAAAAACAAAATAGATGATTTTACCAATCAGATGGGTCAATTCATCATTAATAGTTAAAATACATGTTTGTGATATTCATGAAAATTTGAAAAACTAAATATATAAAGAAGAAACTGAAGTCATAATTTAAAACAAGGTAATATAATATAACAAATATAAATAATAATTAAAAAAAATATTAATATATGATGACACTAATAATATTGACAGTTATTGCTGAAGATGTTGTTAATGATAATGTTGGTGATGGTGATGCATAATATGATACTGTAAGTTGATAGGTAGGGATTTTGATGATGATTAAAGGTAAATTTTAAAATGTTTACATTGATTGATGACAAAAATGATATAATAGCAAAATATATTATGAATACGATAATGTCTACTGTCTCTCATTGAATATTCCTGTAACAACATAACAATGTTAGTTAACAACAATGTTGAGGAACATGCAAATGTTCCTCAGAGGATTGCAACTAAAGTTTTTCTAAATACCATTCAGTATCTCAATGAGTGATAATTTCCCTGTTGTGACTTCTGGGACATATGACTGCAATCAAGTTCCTGTACTTGTCTCTAATCTTTCATTTTATATCTGCTCTTTGCCAAATGATAAGATGGATCTTATTGTGGTACTTCATTATTTAATCTAAAATTCCAATTATTAATATAAAAAATCTGTGTAATTTACTAACTTTGCAAGCAGTTAACAACATCATTGTTGATTTTTCTAGGACTCCTCTTGCTGCTGCCATTTGAGCTCGAATTCGTTCATCTTTTAAATCCTAAAAGTAAACAGAAAACATTCCATCATTTCTCTAATATAAATCGTAAATCAGCCACAAAATGTGAAAGGCTACATCAAATTTGTCAACATATTCAATCAGTATGGAGCTCTTGATTTGTGCGATGACGCAACGCTAGAACAGAATCACTCACGTGTGACCGTCCTACCTGGCGTCCTACGTACTCTGCATATGTAGATTTAGCCAAATTGCGTTCCAGAATCTACTCGACGAGGTGACCTTAACATTCTCGCATGTGCAGATGACTTTTATTGACGTTATTACGTTCTACGTCCTACCGTCGTCGTGCAATCGAAAGCTCCCTACCATTACTCATTCGTCACAGAACAACCACAAAATGTGAACAATGCTGTGTATAAAGTATGTCAACAAGTATTCATTGATATTGTGGAAAAATGTGGCACATCCCATCACAAAATCAGGGTTCAAGTCTAATCCTCCATGGAGCTGAGTACAGTAACATCTCCCAATTACGTACCCCTCCGTCCGAACAGAGTCCGTAAATGAGAAAATTTGTGATTCAGAGAGTTCAAATTTTCATAGCATCTCAGTGTGGTGAGTGTAGGCCTAGTTCTATGCTCTAAAGTACAGGGCTAGGTAGGCCTAAATCTTGCCACGCGAGCAAAATTTTTTCACGAAATATGACTTGGATTTTACTGTTTTCTGTCGAATTATTATACAGTAAATAGATGATTTTACCAATCAGATGGGTCAATTCATCATTAATAGTAAATACATGGTTATGTGATATTAAAGTCTTCCTAAAAATTTGTTAAACTAAATATATAAAGATAAAACTGAAGTCATAATTTAAAACGATGAAATATAATATAACAAATATTAATAATAATCACAATAATAATATATGATGATACTAATAATATTGACAGTTGTTGAACAAAAAGTGAGATTTACTGTACAGTATGCTTGAACAAGAAGCATGCACAGCTCAAATGTAATATATCTCGGCTGAAAACGATTAATATTTCTTGCTTAAACTTGATTTTATGTCACTTTACTGGTTTTTTTCCTTAGCTGATTAACATTTTATATTATTTTTGAAAACTTTTAATTATACAATTTAAATGCTTTTGTAGTTAAAAACGATCTTCGTAATGACGTCATCACCGGAAATTGGGTTCATAAAAACGAGAAACCGTAAATGGGAGATATTACTGTATGTGTTTCATAGGTGTTTGATCCAATGACTATGTAATCATGTGAGTACATAGAGGCCATCGTATGATGCCATCTAAGACACAGATATATTATTAGTATTATACTGTAGCTTCAGTAGGAAAACAGCCATTTAGATTTACATATTTATTAAAAACAATCTTTCATCACTTCTTCAGGTGAACTCTATGGTGAAATCATTTAATAATTAAGAAATAAAATTGATCAATAAAACATTCATATATAAAATACTGCATACACAAGTATGCCACTATATTAATATCCGGCACTCATTGAGGACAGACTATCAGTGAATACGTGTATCACTAATAATCTAGACTCAGTATAACTTAATAGACAATAATAAATATAATTGAAACTACACAAACCTAAAGTAACTATAAGTTACTATTTTGTTATTCATCTAAAAATGGTTGTGAGCTGGTAGAAATGACAAATTCTATATTATTATGTGTATATTACATTGGTAATGATATTAATAATCAATTATTTAGTTTACACTGTATGTATTAGAGTACTATATCAAGAAGTGTACTGTTTTGTTTACAAAATTTGAAATAAATTGATTTAAATAACAACTAGAGCAGTCACTCCCCTGTGCTTTAATACCTACAGTATATCGAACTAAAAATAAAATTCATTATGACCTTGACTATTTCACTTGAAAATGTCATCACCTATTCTTTAGGCCAACAGCCTAGGTGGTTTACATCGAAGTTAACCTGCATATCTAAATCTTGAAATGATACGATTTTCCCTATTTGCTTTCTATGCCAGGATTAGAGCCAGATAAACAGCCTGCCAGCTTTGAGGCCGTTGATGTCCCTAAACAGGAATTGTTGAAAGACCAGGCAGAAAATCAGCGTGGTGGAAAGGCTTGTTTATAAGACATCTATTTTACGTACTCCTTAGTAGTACCATGGGGTATTCCAAAGATCATCCGTGAAATCGACTATTTGTAAAACGGACGTTTTACCGGGTTTTTACTGATAATATTACAAATAATGTCTGAAAACCATGCGGATATGAGACTACTTTGCTGCTTTGTTATCATTGTTTAAGTATGTTGTTTCTAGCCAGGAGCATGAAGATAACAACTGGTATGACAACAGCAGCTTAGATACATACGTTAAGTATCATGTGTCCTTTTAATACGAGTTGAATTTACTGTTAAGCAGGATATTTACCGTTAATCTGGTTATGTTAAGTCGCTTATCGATACATGATTTAAGCCTTTATCTAGACATAATCAACTGGTTCACATCGAACTTATGTCTAGATAAGTGGATCTATATCTAGACTTAAGTTTGACGTGAACCAGGCTAACATGTATCATTCCACTAAAGTTTATGATCCATTGACAGATATTCATAATCTTTTTAAAATTAACATATTATTCAAATGATTATGACCTTAACCCTGACCTTTTCATCTACAATTTAATCACCATCTTCTAAAACCAATGTAGGCCTACTATTTCATTAATTTTATGATTATCGATTTGTTAGTTATTGTGTAATCCTGCTACAAACAGCAGTAAAAATATAATCTCCTTGGCAGAGGTAATACTAATTACTGTCTGTATACAGACATAGACATTTTCATTAAAACTGATGTTTGAAATTAATTAATTTAAAAAAAATACATAACAAATTAGGGGCCACAGAGACTGCTATGAGACAGATAGGGTAAAGTGCCAAATTCTAACTTTTACAATATACAGTAGAACCCAATTTGTGAAGACCAGTGGATTTTTAAGTCTATGTTTGTGATGTCGATAGTTCTTTTATGACTAAACTTACTTGAATTCCACATACTCAAGAGGAAGGTTGCGTATGTATATTGTAACCTTTACAATATACAGTAGAACTCAATTCTTGAAGACCAGTGGATTTATTAAGTCTATGTTTGTGATGTTGATGGTTCTTTTATGACTAACTTACTTGAATTCTACATACTCAAAAGTAAGGTTGTGTATGAATTTTATATAGCAAATTTATGTTTAACAGCAACTAGTTTGAAGTGCATCAACCACTTAGACTAGTTAATAATAGAATTACATAATATTTTAATTGGTGCATTTTCACCATAATTATTTTGCTTGGAACAGGTTAAAAAAAGTATAAGTTTAAAATCAGACCAAAATCAATGGCTTTTTAAAAGCCAATAATAATATAACATTTATAAAAAACAAAAATACGTACATTTTGTCTATCCCCAGTAAGGTGAGCTAACTCTACCATTTCCTTTCCAAACTGGCTAAATAACTGGACAAACTCCGTGAAATTTCGTACTGTTTCAAGTTTATTTAAACTCTTCTTTACTTTCTGCTCCGCTACTATAATCTGCTTGATGACCACTCTGTCAGCTAACAACAGCACCTTGGTGACTGCCGACAGGAGCCCCCTGGCTGCCTTGATCATACTGTTCTTGTCCGTCGAGTTCTGCATAGTGACTGAAAGCCAACTATTTGTGTCCGTCAACCTTGCAATGTTATTACCTACATTAAGAAAGTATATCAGATTTTGAAAAGTGGAGTGTTGAATAGAATATTTACACAAAGTGCAAAACTAGGGACAGAGGATATCAATGGCTATGACTACACCATAAATTGGTTGTTAACATCTAAATTAAACTTACTTTGCCAATTATTTCCATTAATTTACAATTATTTGCTTTTGCGTGAAGCACAATGCAAAACCCTACAGTACTGGTTGCGCCACTGTGTCATATTGTTCTGCATTCGAGCTCTGAACAGGGGATGCAAAATGTTATTAAAATGAAAATGATGACAACTATGTTGCGGATACCAATGAGAGAAAAACCATGACAATGACAACAACCATGAATGAGTGGTGACAACAATGAGTGACAATTACGATGGCTATTAAAATGATTGATGTTTCTAATGATGGTATAGTCAGTCATGCCAAAGATTGTAGAAGCAGAGATGACAACTGTGATGATCATAATAATAATTATATAATTCCTAATTAAAAAAAGCCTCAAAATGCTGATGATAATTCCTGAAAAGAAAATTAGCCATATTATATCACCAATGTAAATGTTTATCAGTTTAACAACTTACCTGCAACCTGTGCCTCTGAGCATGCCTCATGAAGCTCATCTTGTATCTCTGTATTTTCTTTACCTAATGCTTCTCCAACAGACACAAATTTGCTAACAGCAAGCCTCACTGCTTGCCCAACACGTTCTATCGCTTGGCAGGTTTTCTCTGATACTCGTTGTTTTTCTTTATGGTTCACCAGTGTGGTAATCTGTAAACAAATAAAACAGTTATATTTTTTTAATTTGCATTGGAAACCATTTTTAATTTTTTATTGGAAACCATTCAAAATGAACTAGGCTATTAATGTGAGAGATAGGAAATGCAGAACATAAGCTCGTACACTAGTTTTCAAACTGTGAAATTTTTAATGATTTAAAAATCATTATCATCATAAGTGAGTATACTGATGTATGTACTATAATCCCAGTAGGTAGAGAGTATTCACTGCTTGATTTTGGAAAAGTTTATCTTTCAAATTATTCAAAGTGTTCTTCCTACTGTAAACCAGTGTGAATATAAGTCAAATTCAATTACAGTATGCTTAGTAAAAAAGTAATGGGCTGGCACAGAGCAAAGCCTTCCTTGTGCCACATTATGCTGTGAAAAATAACTATATAGCCAGGCCTTCCACGCAATTTCAATAACAAGATAAAAATGCGTAGGAAGCTTTAAATGTGGCTTAAATGCTAAAGTCTTGCTACTTAAAGGAGGTTTCAAATACAACAAAATACTCTATTTACATAGGGACAACATTTCCACCAAGTTAAAATTTATGGGTGGTTGTTTTTTGCTAAACCAAGCATGCTTTAGATTCAGAGAACACATCATACACTATTAATGATGCATTAATCTTCTATAGTCTATCTACCAACTTTTGTATACTCCTATATAGTTTCTTCAAGCTATTCCCCTCCACACACCCCTATACCCAACCCCTCCCCCCCATCCTGCCCTGCTTTGCTTCAGAATGGTCTGGCTGATCTTTGAATTATCATGTTTCTTTTGCTGCCTCCAATCTACGACTTTCCCTTATGACTTCTCATCAATGCTGCACAGGTTTTTATCGTATCATCAGGCTTTTGAATGACAAACTCTAAATGTGGATGATGATGTCTTTTGCTTTGTTACATTATATCTTGGGTTTTAAAATTCAGTGCTGTAAAAAAGTCATGACAATAACGAGAACTTAAACTTGTTAATTAGTTGTGCAATTCCTTGGTACACCAAGTTATTTTGCATTGAACCATCTATGTATCACTGGATATGAATTTGGCCTTGTACAGATCATAGTATTCGTGGAAACATTACTTTTTATATTAAGATGTTAAAAGGAGCCCCCTCCCTATGCACAATTCACGCAAATATTCTACTTTAATACTATCCTGAAATCATAAAGTCGCTGCATCATTTCATCATGAGAGGTCCAGATAATAATTCAATTACATACTCATTCATGCAAAACACTGCAGTGCATATTATCTGATATTAACCGATTTTAACACTGAGTCAATTCCACGTGAGTGCACCCCAGGTTGTTAATGGAACTCATTCAGTCCTACTTAACCAAACGATAGTTATGATCACCTTCTATGTTTCTCAAAAAAGGCCTGCTTTATAGACCATTTTTGCAAAACTTGAAATAAAAATTTCCAATAACCTGGCAACTACCACTGAGGAACTTTCAGAGGCCTAGCATTTCGCTCTATGTAGTTAAAATCATAGATCAACGATGAAACTAAACTAACGAGCACAAATATTTCAAAATGGAAAAAACACAAAAAGTTTATATTAAAACAAGTCTATGACTTAAAAAGCTATTTCAATGTTTACATACAGTAATTAGCAAGATCGTATCTGTTGTCTACTGCTGCTATATAGCAAAGGCCTACAGTAGTGGCGCTATCCGCTGCACAGTGCTCGCTACTTGTAATTAGCCAGCTGCTCAGGCTGGGCCGCTGGAAGTCCGCCAGTGAGTTTCGAGACGTTGGCGGCGCTGTTTCAAAATAAATCTGATAAAATGGTCTATAGACTACCATGACTTGCAACTAGCAGCATGACACCACATATGGTTTTGTGGTGGGGGTGCTGGTGCAAATATTCCAGGGCCCATACATTTTTTTTAATAGAAAAAGAGATAATTACATTCAAATTTAAGTCCAAGAGTTCCATTTTCGAGCATCTATAAGTGCCAAAGTGGTGGCCCCGTCTATTTCAAGAATTCATGGATCCGCCACTTGACACAACTACAGTGTCCAGTATGTCTGCATCAACAGTGCTATCGTAGCTTATAACAATTCAATAATATTAATATCTAAGCTTAACCACCCCATTCACTATTAAATAATAATAATATTCAGGCAAAACATACAAAAAATGCATGAGGAAAGGGAAAATATGAAACACTATCTGCTGGGAAGACACACACACACACATAAAATTAATAAATTACTGTTACAAAGCATTCAACAATCTTTTGCATATTTTGAAAAGCCTGGAAGTAGTGATTTGCATAAATTTTGTTATTAAAAATAAGTGAATCATAATCAATCTTAGCAGAAAGTGCTCAGGATTTTTAACTTTTTAAAATTGATTGAAAAATGAATGGAAGCTTGCAACTGATATCACATGAGAGTGAAAGAGTGCATTTTTAAACCCCAAGTGTTTTTTGTTGTCAATCCAAGATGAAGTCGATATTTTCTTATTCATCTTTAAATCTTAACATTTCATTTGAGTGTAATAATCATATGCACGAGGGAAGGATGACTTTGTTTTGATTAGTTTGCTTCAATAATGAAATATTAATTCATGCACAAATTCTTAGAAAAAGTACAAATACCAATATAATTTGAAGATGTGACAAAAACTCATTAAATTATGAAACAAAGTGCAGACTTCAGATAGTGTTTTAAAGACATTTTTTAAATTAGAAAACTTTCATGGCACTATAAACTACTGTAAATCAATCAATAGTATTGTGGTTTTGTGATCTACATTATCTGCTATTGTTAGTACAGTAGATATATATTTTTAGGTTCTTTTTCTGTCCTTTTTTGGGCCTGCCATACTTTCTACAAGAACTTGTCCCTCCGTTTCCTTGACTTGACCTCCCCTTTCTTGTCATCATTGTTTTATTTGATCTGCCTTTTGATCGTAATATAAAATTTGGCTTATTGGCTTTCCCAAATTTAAACAGTTTTCTAATATTATGATGTACTTTACCTGTCTTTATGAGGTTAAATCAGATTACATATACGAATGCATGTTCAGGTGATTTTAATTATTTACTAATTTCACCATTCATGTTTTTCCTCCCAATCGATCGTGGCCTGATCAAAAGGTCAATCTGAACCAGCCATTTAGCTTGATCAAAAAGTTTAAAGTGATCAAACTAGTCATTAGCAAATTGTGCATATCTGAATTAAGTTTTAGTCATATATTTGGAACTTGTTTGGGAATGGTACTAGAAAAAATACTGAATTCATCCAAATATTAATTCACAATATGATTTGTTTTTTGCAACATAAGCAGGACTGTTGATACCGCAAAAACGATTAAAATTAACTGATTTTCACAAGTTTTTTGGCTCTAAAAATTCTCATTGTTATTCAGTAAAGGTATATACTGTAACCTACCAAAATTTTTGAAATTTTATTACCTACAGATTATGCTAATGTTGGTTGAGTAGGGTAGGTGTTCTGAAGGATCGGCACAGGTCAAAATAGATAAGCCGTTATTCAACATGAGCTGTTGATTTTACCTTATTTTGAATACAAATTTTCACTTTAGAAACATGTAGTACCACCCTAGAATACTTTATTTTTTAAAAAAGCTATAATTATCAATCAACTCAGAATTTGATTGGCTTTTGATCTACAGTACATAAAAATTAGTTTATTTGAAAAAGTTTCTAACCAGCACACCCCTTTTTTGTGAAAATGACTTATCAGGAAGGAGCTTCGGAAAAGTCACTCTTTTTACAAGAGCCATTTTTGGTTGGGCGGTGGTGTCAGTCAGATGTTTTGTGATATAATTTGCAATATTTTTGTCTTTTTTAAAACATATTATCGCATATTTAAGTTTTATTACTGGTACGTTGTACTATATTAATGGATTCATGATTTTAAATTAACTTTTCTGAAGCCAGGCTTTAGCATACAAATCTGAATTTTCGTTACTCTACTACACGGCCTACCCTATGCTACTTAGGACTAGGGTCTAGGCCTATTTATGATTAAAATTTAATTCAGACAAATTCGGCCCACTTAACTTAATATAGTTTTAATACATATTATATAGTATAGTACATATGTGCATATGGTATATTATCTTTGACCATGCAGGCTTCAACTAAAGTAATTCAACATACAAACTGTCTATCATACAGTACATAGCAAACTGTACAATGGTCAATGGCTGTACACATGTAGAGCACATGTAATTGTACATACTATGGTCAAAAAGCAGGTATGGCACTGTAATGTAGCTATACTGAAATAAAAACAATCAAGTATAGTATGGGCGTTTACATATTTTCATTTTTGATAAGCACAGCATGATATATGAATAATTTTAAAATCACATTTTAACAACATAGATTTTATATTTGATTTTTGTTTTGTTCCATTCAAACATACTTTAATGTAGCCATACAAGATACAGTAATAGCAAATCATGTAACAGTAACAGGATGCACATTGATTTTATATTTGATTTGTTTTGTCACCCACCTTTTAAATTATTTCTATCTAGTAAAAATGCACATGCACTGCTTTACTTTAAATACATTATGTTTCAATACTATTCAGATCTAACCATTTTATTCTTATGATTCTGATCCCATCTGTCCTTTCCTCTACATTATATTATTATCTGACAACTCAGAAGAACCTATGAATGTTGGGAAAGACTGGTCTCAGTGAAGCAGAGGATCTGTAGGCTAGCATTATAAATCGAGAGAAGAGCAGTCTGTTATAAAGCGTTAAAGCGTGAGAGTACTGGGAATAGCTTGCCACTTCAGAATCAAGATTGAATTTTTATGAAAACTTAATGTCGCAGTGGTTGAGAATAAGTTCAATTTCCCATTTACAATAGTAAATTATTATTTAAAAAAAAAATAAGCACAAGAAAACCTTAAAATCACTACTTACATTCAAGTGAACAAATATGACTTGAAATAAACAAACTGTGTTGTATTATTGATCTTTGATT